AACCCGAACACTAAATTAAACGGCAAACTGGTCATTTACAAGCACAAATAAGTATTTATTTCTCTATTGGGCTTATGGCAATTGGTGGGTAAATTCTTATATCCGTGAATTATCACATATGTAAATATGAACACATAAGGCTCCATATTTTTGAGAACAAGGGCAAGGCGATGAAAATGTGAAATATTTATTAGGCAAAAACTATGCATAAGAAGAATTAAAAAAAAAACTAACTACTGCCAGACATTGAGGATGACGCTGCAGCTTCATTAGATTGACTTAGTTGAAGGCTAGTGAAACTCACTGTTGCTGCGATCCGGTGTTAACGCTCGTCCAATTTGACTGTGCAGTTAGTAACTTTGAAGCTTTTTGTTCGCATTCTTAAAGACAGTGAACAGAAGATGCCGCCAAGAGCCCAACAGCGAAGGTGACGACAGGCGGTTGACGGATTGAAAGCAAAAAAAAATACAAGAAAAACGTTAACTTCGGTTGCACCGAAGATATAATACCCTTCACAAATACATAAGATGCCTTAGAAGAACATTGATCAGTCAGGTTGTATGGCAGCTATATGCGATAGCGAACCTATTTGAATAATTTCTTCGGAGATTGCATCATTACCTTAGGAAATAACCCATGCCAAATTTTGTGAAGATATCCCGTCAAATGAAAAAGCTTTCCATACAACTACTTTATTGTGTTTGTATGACAGCTATAAGTTCCGATAGTTCCGTTCTGAAACCGTTCTCAAATGAGCAGCTTCTTGGTGAGAAAAGAGCGGGTGCAAAATTTCAGATCAGGACGGACGGACATAACTAAATCGACTCAGCTCGTCATGCTGTTTCTTTTATATATATACTTTACTTTCTCTGACGTTTTCTTTTAGATGTTGCAAATATTGTGGCAAACTTATATATCCTCTACAGGGTATACAAATTATAAAATAAAACGTGGCTAAAATAAAAAATTTATAAAAAAATTTAATGTTGTGCGAAAATAATATGTGCATATAGTAAATATAAAAATATATATATGTATATATTTATATATTCTCTTAAGACCTTACACCCTAGACTATTAAAATCTTTTCTCCAATTTTTGTATGAATATATATGTATATCAGCAATGAAAACTTCAGTCTATCTCCATAACTATTCCTTTATGTAATTTGGGGATTTTTCCCTTTCGCCTAGAGGTCGGCACGGGAAAGCCAAGCTCATTCAATTCATTGAAAAAATCTTGCAAATCCATTCATATGCCACACTTCAAAGCCCTTCTAACCACCAAATTACCCCCTCAAGCCAGCTTAACTCTAAATTTTGCTGCAATTAAAAAGCGTGAAATATTCAATCGATATAATATCTAACAAATGATTGAATGAGTATTAAAAAAAAATCCAAAAAAAATGTAATAAAAAATTTTGTATGGATTTCGTGCGTTTAATCGATTTTCTTGTTCGATGATATTTTCGCTTAAATACATCGATATCCCGCTGCGCCATTTCTGTTGTTTTCGGTGTTCGGGTTTTTTTGTGTTTCGACGATTCTTTACGCTCGGCTTTGGGCGTATTGCTACTTTTGCTTTTTTTTACAACCATCTTTTTGTGACTCGGCTGCTTTTTTACACATCTCAGTCTTATAGTATATACTATATAGGTATATATTATAAGATTGTTGTTGTTGTCTGCCACCCACAACAAAGCATCGCCTTCATTTGTTTTGCTTAAATGCTCGGCGTTACTTTGTGTAGTTAACGCCGAGATAAAACGCTCAACAAAGCGGGTATTTATGAGATTTACGAGTACGCCAGAGAGTTGCGCTGGAGTTTAGTCGTGGTCGTGGCATACGATTTCGGTGTTGGAGCGTCAGGCGCGCATTGTGCATTGAAATACTTGGTTGCCCGCGCGGTTGGCGTCTATGGTTGAGACACCTTTTCTAATATTTCATTACCATAGCAAATTAGGCGAGGTGCTGACGGCTATTTGTAGCCTATAAATGGGTTGCCCAAAATGTAAATTAAGATTTATTTAAGGAATTTCTGTGGTAAAATTGTGTATAAAGTTTACACATTTGAGTTTTTATTGGAATACTTGGTGGTGATTCTAAGCTCATTGAATATTTGGTTTTGGTGCGTTTAGCAATTAAAGTCACATTTAAATATGGAGCTTCATCATGCAATCTTTTTAATTGTATAATGTATACTTTATATAAAGAATTTATCGGTTAACTTTTGAAATTATAAAAAAAAGTATTCAACTTTGGTAAATATTCAAAACTATTAGATGGTCGTGTTATGCTGATTAACGCTGTTTAAATATAAATATGTGAAAATGTTTCATTGAAAAAATCGTTTGTAAATAATTTCATTCACGTTAGAAAAATGTATTCAATGGCTCAAATTGATATCCGAGATAAATTTGTAATGGCTTTATGGCTCAGATTTATGTTTTTTCATATCCAATTTGTTTTTGTAACTGACGAGGAACTCATTATTATTAATATGTTTTAAATTTGTTACTTCCAAGCTTAAACAAAAAACGGTTTTCTATACTTTGAAATTTAATTTCATAAATATTTAAAATATCGGTTTATTGCGGTGTAGTATAATGCTACATATACGAGTATTGTACTATTGAAGGAAGAGGTATGTAGTGTGGTATTTGATTTCAAGTTTCAAGCTGTCAATAAGCTTACGATATCTGTGGATATGCATATTCAATTTACTTAAGGCTTATTGGTAAATAAATATTATATATTGGATTGATGTCGAAAGCTTAGTATTGAAATTCCAAAGAGTGGGGCTTAGAAGATGTATGAACAAACAATGCTGAGCAGGAGACTAGCCTCAAAACTGACCTTGTGAAAATAGATACTATCCTTATACTTGGATATACCGGATGCAACCAAAAGAGATGCGAGACATTTTGGCGAATGAAGACAAAGTTTCTTTATACATTTTTTACAGATTTAATCAATGAAAGTTAAGTATTAAAATCTGAGGTGAAAAAATCTTTAAAGGGTAGGGTTTTTACTTTCGAAAAATAATTTTTTTTTTATTTCTCTTATCTTATTGTTTAACATTTCCTATGTCCTTAAAATTTTAGGTCGATAGAAGCAATATTCTTAAAGTTATTGTCTTATTAATCTCCTTGCCTTTAACGCTCCAACCAATAGTTCATAAACTTTAGACGCGTTTTTCTCAAAACTACTTTTTCAAAGTCCGTGTTCACTGTCATTTCAAAACTACTTGACCGATTCATTTCAAACTTTATACACATTTTCGACATATAAAATACCGCCCCCATGCGTTTAGTAAACATTTTTTTTTTACATTAAGGGTGTTTTCCACACCCGAAATGGCGAAATTTTTAGTGGAAAATAACATTTTACACTTTAAATAGCCGCCAAAAATTTTTAAATGAAAAAAAAAATTATCAGACAACGTAGGGGGGAAGATTTGATCATAAATTAACTAATTTTTCTTGGTTTTTTTCCTTCGGATAATTTCCAGCCGAGTTATGGTGAACACCGCAAATTGTTTTTTTCTCACGACGTTCTGGGGGAAGCTCCGTTACCGGCTTATGCTTCAATATTTCTGCATGAAAAAATTACCCTATATTGTCGAAAGTATGCTCAATAATGTACAAAAAGTCCAAATAAAATTACTTAATCCATATTTAAGAAAAAAATTCGCAAAAAAAGTCTTTTTTTTACCTTAAAACCCTACCCTCCCCCCTTAACATTATGTTACTTCCTTTGAAAATGTCATTCTCTTTATAGGTAGGCAGAAATTAAGGTTAATAATGATTCAGAACGGTAAAAATGATATGAGATTCAACAATCGCTTTATAGTAGAAAACCTCTCAGTTGCATAGTCTCACACGAGATAGCCAGGGGGTAATACCAACTGATCACTGCATATTGCAAAGATTGGTACCAACTTTTTAAATTCGTATGAGGCTTGAGCATTCTAATACTTTATCACGAACATAGGTATGTAAGTAAATCAGAGGAATAAAGCATTAAGTGAAGATCGTGAAGTCATCGAAAACTTGCCTCATGCGAGTGGTCAATCCACAGCTATTATTGACGACAACATCGTAAAGTTAAAGAAACAGTGCGTGAAAGTCGTCGTGTTGGATACAGAGTGATAGGAGAGGATATCAACATATCTCCTGGATCGACTCAACTCATTTTGCTTATGAAACGTGTCAAACAATGCTGAGCAATGTGTCACTCGTTCCTAAAGACCTGAATTCAAAAAAACGTCGAGTAGAGGTCGCAAAAGAGATACATTCATTATTGTCATCTAATCATAATTAAACTTTGTCTTAAAATACTTTCAAATGTGATTTTTTTTGCCAGTGCCAGTCCGGGTTAAATTTGATCAGATCAGGTATATCCAATCATAATTAATTTGAATAAATAGTTTTGATATTATAATCAGACTGATTTTTATTAAAAAGTTGAAATTGAATCGAGAAGACACACTGCTATTTTGGATCAAGTGCTAGAAATATAATATATGCTATTAAAAAATTCCAACCGATATTATTTTAGAATTTTAGTTTTTAAGGCAAAATCAAATGCCGACGGAATTTAAAGTTTCATAAACTTTTATTTTAGCAGTTTATACATTAAGCCGACGGTTTTACTAGAAATTGGATAGTGTTTATCAAGCTATAAGGCATTTTGAAAATCAAACCAGCTTTTTATGTCATATCATGTTACAGTTAGAGATTGTTTAATGCCTACTGTCTCAAAGATGAACCATTTAACTTTCGCCAAATTTTAGTGCGAACTTGTTTCAGATACTTTATTTTCAATTCTAACCGCTTTTATGTTTTTGTACATTTGTACGTACTCTTCTTTTTTCTTTACTTTTTCAGACACTTTATTTATAATTCTAACTGCATTTGAGTTAAATATTATTATTTTTTACGTTTGTATGTACTCTCCTAGGTAGATATTACCATTTTTATATATTGCAACTTCATTTACCTTCATTTTAAGTGCCTCCACAATTTTGGCGGTTTGTAATCCCAGCGTGATAGAGAAATGCAAAATGTTTGGCCCACAACTCCGCGGAGCGCCTAACTGCGAAAGTCTGAGAGTTGTGGGGTGCGCAAGGGTTAATTCAGAGTGATTTATCTTAACAACACGCACCTAAGCATATATTGTGTTTCTTTGTAATATTCTTGTCAATTAACTAAAAGCACTTTGAACTTTTTTTATGGAACAGAATTTAATATACAATTTTCTTATGTACGTATTAACTTTTTTGTTGTTTTTTGTTATTTCCGACCGAATTTTAGTGTTTGCTTGCATTTAACACAGTACAGGTGTGTTATTATTATTTTTTAAATATTTTCAAAACACTATTTATCAAACTTTTAATTCACGCAAATTCATTTTTCTGCACCATTTTTTGTTTATCTCAAATTGTATTTGACACAAAAATTTTAAATTGTCAGTTTAAAGCACACACTTGTGCATATTTAGATGCATAAAAGTGAAAACGAAATTTTGCCGACGTGTAAAAACTCCCGTTAAATTGCACACGTTGTCTGCAGTTATGTATGTTTTTGCGCACGAGGGACGCGAGCGTAGAACTTTCCGTCACAGTTGGTTATCAACACATCTGCCATAGCTGATAAGCGGCCACCTTACGAGCCGACGGCAGGTGAATTACTTGTGTGCATACATCTGTTTAGTGAAAATTAAGCATGGCAATATAGTACAATAACAAAAACAAAACTATCAACACGTAATCCGAGCGTATATTGAGCAAGCAAGTAAACGACGGAAGCGTCAATATCAACGGCGAAACGGCACAGCACGTCGTCACACCGCAAGACCGCACGATAAACTGATGTGATGCCGCCGCAATAGCTCGGATTGAGTGACGACGCAAAGCAGAGCTGCGCTTAGCTCTGACGTCGCCACAGCAGATCGAGTTTCAGAGTTTCAAGACGAGTTCTTGAGTGAACATCGCGGTAGCACACTGTCAAAGTAACGGAGTAGAGCAATTTTGACTGTGAAGCAACCGGCAAGGTACCTATGCCTGCTGCTTGTAGCCGGCCAGTTAATCCAACAACACCACCACACACACACACCCCTGCACAAACATACATAACTACCCAATAAGTATACACATATACATTCATAAATATATGGGCACAGAGGGCGCGAGCGAACTTTAGCATGGTTAAACGTTAAGCCAATTCCGCCAACAACAGCGCTACGTATAAGGGAGCTGACAAAAGGTATGAAAATAAAACAGAAAAACGCGAACAGCAGCAAACTGCATGCGAGGCATACCCACACAGCTTCCACCATTGCAGGCACGGCACCACCACTGCAGCGTCCGCTGTCAGCATATGTCAGCATAAGTGTACGTGTGTGTGTGAGTGAAACCTTTTATTCATAGTTTTCACTCATTCTTCTTATTAGCAGCTGGGCAGTTGGTCCAACTGGTTTGCAACGCGCAGTCTTAGGCACCCTGTATGGATGTGAAGTTTAGTGCTGGGGTATGGTGATTGGTTGCCATGGCGGCCAATGTTGGTAACGCCCCTTTAAGTCATGAGAGTGTGAACGCGAGAGTTGAGCGCCAGTTTTTTGTTTGTATGGCTTTGAGCGCTAGCATTTGTGCCCATGGTTTTTGTTACATATATATATGTATGTGTGCATGTGTGCTTTTATTACTTATACATTTCGCCCATTTTGAGTGTGAGCTGCGCTGGAAGCCACTCAACGAGTTTTTGGGATTGTATATGTGCGTCGTGCTGAGTCCAGTCCATGCGCCGGCGCGTGCCAAATATCACTCTATGGTATACCAACAACACCAAAAACAATACAACAACTGCAGCAGGTGGCGCTCAGCTACTCAGCTGCCGCGTGCCGGCGTGTGGGTTGTGTGGTGTCACAAACGCCTTCTTCTTTCTCATGTCTCAGGCGGCGTGAAGAAGAACGCGCGCTAGCTCCCATATGCTGAGGCGCAATTATTTTGGCAAGTGTTGGAGTGAGTTAGCAACAGTTGCGATTGATAAGAGTATAAATTTGTTAAAAGCAAGAGTTAAGTGAGGCGGCAAAAATCGTCAGAGCAATGGAGTCCGAACGGCACAGATACATCGCAGTAGCCCAGCGGCAACAATGGCGCGCTTCTTCGCTTGCTCAGATACGCTTGTAAGTGCTTAGCTGGCAGTCGGCAGTTTACAAGTTAATTGCTACATTTTAAGCTTTTAAACTTTTTTAGTTTTCTTATCTATCAGTGTTTGCTTTATTACTAATTTTTTTCCTGCTATCTAATATTTTTAGTGTCGTTGTATTGTGTGCACCACATTGATCTAAGCATTTAAGTATGTGTGTATGGCTTAGCACCGCCCAGCCAACTTCAGTGTCGTCGATTACCTATAAGTGCACATTCAACTACATACATATATATGTATATATATTATTATATCAATCTTCTCGAGTTCTTAAAGTGCAGTTATAGTTTTTTTCGCAAATATTTTTAGACATTCCATTTTTTCTTCGTGAAAGTCATTCTATGTGTTACTCGAGTAAGAGAAAGAGAGAATGATATTCTTGCCTTGTGCGCCGCTCACACTTATTCAACAATTGGTGTGAATGGGTTAAAAAGTAGCACTTTAAGCTGTCTGGTGCCAATTCACCAATGCCTTCACACATATACAAATATATTCGCACATATGTATGTATGTTTGTGTGTGTGTAGATATAGTCTGCTGCGCTTAAGGGCATAATGAGACCGCCTTCGCACCTCGCACTTGAGTCGAATAGCATTTTTGTTGTACTTAGTCAATACAGTGTGCGACTTTAAGTGGTGTTTTATAATTTCAGCAATTATTGTTGTTGTATCTTGTTAATGTCGTAGTTGCGTCATACTAACGCTTGTTGCTTCCTCTTTGAAGGATTTCATCGTCAACAGTTAAATTTTATTTAGTGAATAGTTAAGAGTATGCAAATGTGTATATATGTATGTATGAGTTGAGTATGAGGCTAGTATTTTCTTTAATTTTTGCTTGAACGGGAATTTTATATAATAAATTAATAAAAATTTACCAAATTGTATGAACTTCAGTAATCGGCGATTCATTTTGTATTTTTTCGGCTTCCTTTGATAGCATAGCCGATCTGTGGCAGTACCTCTGGAAAAAGTCGACTGACGGTGAGAAGGATTTTTCTGCTCAAAACTATCTCAAATCCAAGAACCAAAAAAATTTTATTGTTACAATAGATAAATACAAGTAATGATAGAAGGACTGGTAAGTATTTTGATTTTTACAAAAAAAAAAAATGGAGCTGTTCTCTCCCTAAAAGAGCAAATTATTATTATGTAAAAAAATTATTATCACAAAACTTATTTCTTCGTTCATTAACTGACAAATATATCGAAAAAGTTCATGAGAAAATTTTAAGTCGTTTCGGAGAAATTGTTGAACCGATTCTGAAATCAACGTTTCGAGAAAAACGCGTTTAAAGTTTTGTGAGCCGATTTCAGTAAGTATAATAGATAATACTTTAATTTTTCTTAAGATTTAGAGAATTCAGATCTCACATTCTCAATAAAAAAATTATTTCAAAATATGTCAGCTTAGGCAAAAAAAGATTATAAAAAAAACTTATGTGATCCGCATCTTTTCAAGAGGAAACATTATTTGGCTTCTTCGAAACTATTCAACTCATATAATTGTAGATATAATAAATTTTATCGAATTAAACACATCACATTTGACATTTGACCTAATTGAAAGTCCGGCTCACTTACAGTCATCCAATTCGTGGGTATTTTCCTTTATCACTTGTTTGATGCCCTTTTAAATTTAAATTTTATTTAAAATATTTTTCGGGTCTCATTTTTTTAATTATAAATTCTAAAATATTCATGCTAACTATCGGCATTCAAAATCCTGTATTTTAGAGTTGCTAGAGCCATTTTTTCATCTCTTTCTATTTAATGCAAAATTATTTTTTGTTTGCTATTGAAACAAGCTTTTTAAGAATCATTAACATATAGTAATATAAAATAGCTTACTAATAGTCTCACTTTTTTGTCATATAAAAAGAAAATATCTCACTCAGTAAAAGACAAATTAGAAAAAATAAAAATAAAAATAAGACGATTCGTGTAACCGGAAATCGAAATTTATTACGTTAAAACGAAGCACTACCGTCGAACAGCAGCCAAGCCAATTGATTATTGATTTCTTTTAATTCGAGCAAATGTAAATGTCTATTAAAATGAATAATGTACGACAATGTTGGTGACATTTTAAATTTATGCGGGAAATTTTTATTTAAAGCTCATTTGCATTTACAACAATTTTAAGCGCAGGTCGGCAAAGAAGAAAAAAGGAGAACAAACACAGAAGCATTTGTGAATATACACATACATACATACATATATACTATATACGAAGTGTTTTAACTCAAAAGAGAAATAGAGTTGGAGCAGAAGATAAAAGAAAATATAAACAAGAGACAGTGTCAACGCCGAAACGCAAGCAGACCTCCAGCGTAGATCTTTAACTGTACATGCATATACCATAAATGTATTTTTATGAGTGAAAATGTTATGTATATGAACATTAAAGCCTTTTTTTATTGGAAATAAACTAAAATTTGGTAACATCTTTAAATGTTCTTTTTATCTATTTTTGTTTTATTGATTTAATATCTATATAAAATTAAATTATGCGTTCGTATCATTGGATTGAGGCAAAAATATAAAGGCTTTTTCAGTCCGGGTCATTTTTGATAATATGCTGTATAATACTGGATTAGGCGCAGGCATGCTCAGGAGCCTATTTTAAATTCGATAATAAACATTTCTATTAAAATATTTCATAATGAGTTCATTTTTCATTCCGGGTCAATTTTGATCTGATGGTATATAAAATTGGCTTTAGAGTTAGCATACTTGTATTTACTCAGGAGTCTATTTTGAAGAGGACAAAGTAGTTTTTTTTGTCAGTCCGGTTTAGATTTGATCAGTGCTACGTATGCCTGTAACGACAGATGATGTTATTTTCGGAATTATTTTATATATAATAAAACCCCAATTTTAAAAAGCCATTTTACCAACGATAATTTTAAAGATAAAAGAAATTGAAGAGTACGTGCTCAAAAGATAACTTAATTCTACTAAATTTCGGAAATCATGAGGTTAATCCAAACGATCTTAATGGTACCCAAGGTATGAAATTTTAAAATTTGTCTTCTGTATTATTTATAGAGTTAACTGCCAACCGACTACAGAGAATCGTTTGAATTGACAGTGAATTTTGCATTGCTTGTCGAAGATGTACCACAGTTCAAATATTTTTTCCAATGATGAAATATCTGAATGTCGAATTTAACCTTGTAATTTAAGTAATTAATATTTATGACATACAAACAATTTCATAAAATTTCCGAAATATTTCAAAACTGTGTAAAATAAATTTCTACCATACACATGAACATTTTTACCCCAAACATATGAAAAAAAACAACCAAATTGAAAATATAAATGAAAAGGCAGCAAAAGATGTAGAAGAAAGACCGAATGACATTTAAATGCTATAATTTAAGAAAAAGTGTCACTATGTCACTCAACGATGGCTCGTTGCAGCGGCGTAACCCATGTGTGGCATACCAAATGTCACACACACACATGCGCATATGAAGGTGCACATAAAGTAGGCGTAAACCCGCATTGTCTGCGCTTGTTTTCCACCCGATAAGCGGACAGACATTTTAACTAACTAGTTGACGGTTCGTACCGAACACTTGTTGCTGACACCGACTGCTGGCTACCGTCAGACCGACCAAACAGGCCGGCGCACCTGATCCTTTTTTCTACAACTACATTTTATGTATGTACGAACCTCTTTAATGTTACCCTAAACAAATGGGTAGGGGTAAATGTTCGGTTGACTCGAAGCACCAGCAGCAGAGGCACTTACTTGTCAGACTCACTGTGGATGCGCTCGTCTTTTTGTGTAGTTGTAGGTGATGAAGGCATTTTTGGTTAACTTGCCCCATGTATCTCTTTATACATCGTCTTATCAGTTGCTGTTGTTATTGCTGCAGCGGCTTTCTATGTATGTCTATGTCAGCAAGGCATGTTGGTTGAAAGGTCAGCAGGTTAAGTGAGATTTCTACGTTAACATATATGTGTGTGTGTGTGTGTTGGCATCACAGCATGTGCAACAATTTTGCTTTTATGCCACATGCGTACCTGTGGTTTATGTGCCACATTTTATCTGTTGTACCTTTGTGTTTCGTAGATATATGTATGTGATTGATATGTTTTTTCTATTACTGCTTACTTACAAGCAATCAGCGAATAAATTAAGCCATCGTTTTCTAGCTAACGGCGCTTCCTTAAGCACTTGCGGCAACATTTATTGATGAGTTTTTGTATTTTGCTTTCAGTTATTATTTATGAACAGTATTTTGTATGTATACATACTGCTATATATGTATGCTTTCTCAAGATTTATGTACTTAGCTTTGGGGTGTTATGCTTAATTTAGGATATACTTATGTATATCAATATATATTTATTGAATATATTGCCTTGAAAGTTGATTTGAAGACGCATTTTTGTGGCCATGGCCATTTATTTAAATTTATGTATGAAACTTTACTAATTAACTAATAGTAGAATACATGCGTATTGGCTTAAAGATAACATGTGATCTAGGAAGGTTTGACTTATTAAATGTAGTCGTCGGAACCAAGAAATATAATATATGATATAAATATTTTTAAGAATTATTATAGAATTTTAAAATTATACGTTATTTTTTACAAATATTAGAATTTACAAAAAAAAAAATATGTATATTTTTCTAAACTGTTTATAGTTATATTTAATCAATTTAATTTGGTTGACTTTGGTTACATAAATGACCGTCAGGTGATAAATTTTGAATCCTTTGCCTTAATTAGTCCTTAAAATAAGTACTTTTTGAAGAGTAACAGCTTTCTATTCAAACGATGGGGCTTGTCTAACATTATACATATTTATATACTCTAACAAGTTGTTACAATTAGAGACGTCTTAAATATTTTCAAGTATTTGCAATTTTTTTATTATTTAACTTACTATAAGTCATGTAATTTCTGAATAATTTTATTATTACGTATAGATTTATCAGCTGATCAAATTTGATCCGGACTCCGATAAAAAATTTAGTTTACTACAACCTTTTTTATGTTCGTGTAAGGTGTGATTTCTATATGTCAATTACTGTATGTTTACAACTCGAAAGGTTTGTCTGAAGATTTTTACCATTAACAAAAAAAATTGAACAACGAATTTCCTTCAAATTTTTATTTCCAATAAAATCACGGTTACGGATTCTTTGAAAATAATGCCGAAATGTTTTGTAGAAACAAAGCTATCACGAACACATTTATTTAAGTAGCGCAAATCATTCAATGAAGGTCGTGAAGTCACCGATAACTTATCTCTTGCGAGTCGTCCATCATCCGGTGTGAAAGACGATAACATCGCAACATCTCTTATGGATCGACTAAACTTCTATCAAAAACCCGTATCTTTTGTAAAAACGGCGACGAGAGAGGTCGCAAAAGACAACGTAGCTGAGAGCTTCACATTAATCAAACGCATCCTTACTGGTTGCAACACGGGGCTTTCTGAATATGTCGTCGAAACTGTCCAACAATCTAGCGAATGGCATTCCAAAATGAGCTGAAACCGAAAAAATATAAATTAACCATAATTGGACCAATATCATCCACCGATATCTATTTTCAGTAGGGAAGCACATAATTGTAAGGGAAATATTGTCGCTTATTATTTGTAATGATGTCTAGTTTTTTCAAAGTTATACGTGTATATGGATAAAATAAGAAGATGAATGAACAGATTGTACCTAATTATAGAACCAGACCACAGTATTTTTGATGATCTCATTTAATTGTATTGAAATATCTTACTTAAATCATATCTACATAAAAAAGAGTTTATTACATTTGCAGAGGTTCAGAATTGATGGTATGGCGGTTAGGGCAACGTATGGACCGATTCCAGCCAGGTTTAATACCAGACCTAATTATTGTCTTAGAAATACATGTTCAAATTACATTAAAATGTCTATTCAAATATCTCACATATGGGCAAATTTATTTGAGCTAAAATCAACCAGGGGTTGGAAATCTTTATATTAACCATAAAGAATGCTAAGGGAAGATCCGTATCAATTTCATCTTTGTTTGATATAACACAAAACTATGTAATAATAATATAATAATTTAGTATATGGAGGAGCATCTAATTCACGGATCGATTCCATTCGACTTCAATGAAAATTATTTTATCAAGACAATAGAGAAGGTCTAAATAAATTTTATTTACTGTTAGTAAAAGAACGCATTCTTGTGCAGAAAAGATATCTGTATAATTCTTCCACATTGAAGAATAAAACTATAGATAATAACTCATTTATAATATATAGGAATATAATTAACGGTATTTAAAAAAGATAACAAAATATTATTATTTTTCGTATAAATTTAGAAATTTACCTAATCATGTCAGATTTTTGTCATTATAAACATAAGCCAAATGCAAGTAGCGAGTGTATTTCGTCATGAAATATGATGATGAAAGACCAACAATCGCAATTTGATGAAGATATTAATGCAAGTAGCAAGGTATAAGAAAAGTAAAAAACCGATTAAAAAAGTACATAACACACTGTGCTCGAAATCAATAAAACATACCCAAAATATATTTGTTGCCAATTCGACATGTTATTAGGTTTGAAATGAGCGCTACCAATTCCACCTTATTAGGGATTAATCAAAATATTTTTTATTACCAAAAAACTAGTATTTTCTTCGCATTGGTTGGTGTGTAAAATTTGTGTCTGTGTAATAATCGAAAAGAACACATACCACTGCAAAATGTTTTTATAACCATAAAATATGGGCAATAATTTTTCATTGTTCCATTGATGAGACTTGAGAAACACATATATGTACATATGTACAAACATCAAAATACAATATATATATATATATAACATATGTATGTATATTAGTAGGCGAGCATATGCCCAAAGCATCACTTGCTGTTCGCGGTAGTTCATTTTGCCATTGCCGCTCATCTCATTTTTGACTTATAACACCGACTAATTGCCCAACAGCTAGCCAAGCAGCCAGCCAGTCTAACTCTTATGCGTCTAACTGCCAGCGCCACAAAAGACAAGCGAAATAAAATACAAGGAAAAATTACCTGCTGCACAGCCATTCTTTCCTTTATGTTTGCTTATGTGTGTGTGAGTGTGTGCCTTCCACCTTCCTGAACACTCGAGCATGTTACCGCAATAAAGATGTTTAGCCAAGTGACGTTTTGATGGCTCAATTCCCATAAATAATCTGCACTCGAACATTTGTTTTATTTTCATTATTACTGTATTTGTTTGTGTTGTTGGCTACAGGTTTTGTTGTTCTGTTGTTCTCCTCGTGGAACTGCATAATAATTCAATTTTTCAGCTTAGCGCCCCACGAATTGCTGCGGCGATATTTTTTATTTTTTTTATTTTGTGGTAGTTTTTGTTTTTGGCTGCAATGTTTCTTTTTTATATTCTTAGCAATGGTTCATTTGGGTGCTCTTTTGGGGGCAAGTTATGTTTGTATTTCCCAGCATAAGCTCCACATATCACGCTAAAGCAGGCATTAAGCATATTTTTCTTTCAATATTGACTTGGCGTACTTCTTTTATGACCACTTTAGCCTTCAAGGCAACACGCACATTCATCACAGAATACCTCGTAGCTATTTAGCGGTATATAACTATATGTATATATACCTACATATGCGATGGGAAGGGCGTTTAGTTAACTTTAGGCTAGAATGCTGCTCATTGGTTTGACAGCAATATTTATTACTGTTGTTGGCGTTAATAAAAACGCCTTAAATGAATATTTTCAATGTATGTGTTTATTGCCTAATAAAAAAATGACTAAAAGGAAAAAAAAATATTAAAATAAAATTTAAAAAAAGTGGCACATGTTGCATTTCGAAAATAAATTTAAAATCAATTGGCAATATAACTGCACCAACCACTGAGACAATAATACATTCCCCCACATACATACACACACACAAACCATATTTACATTGTTGCTAATGCGATATCATTGGCTCGTAAATCACTCGCTCGCATATAACCTCAATTCGCTGTGTTTACGTGCGTTTTTATTGTTATTGTTAGTTTTGTAGCATTTTTTTATATTTACTTAACTACTTTTGGACACACACACACATATATATATATACTTGTATGTCTTTTTGTTATATTTTTTAGTTAGTCGCTCAGCTCTGCTCGTGTTTTACCAGCTTGTTTATGTGTTGATTTGTTTTTCTTGCTCGTTCGACCGTCTCTGTTGGCTCATTATATACAAAATTAATATGTGTACTTATTTACTCGAACCACAATATCATGTTTATGCATGTGTGTGTATGCATCTATATATATATATACATATATTTGCATACAGTTGGCTGGCAGCTATTTGTCTGATGTTATCTTTTATTTTATATGCCTAATTGGACGTCATAATTTGTCAGTCAACCGTCTCAATTACTGTTTATTCGGTTGTTTATTGAATAGGAGCAATATATAATGTTATGCGAGTCACATGAGCGGATAAATATGTTATGTAAATTGATGTATGCTTAAGTATTTGCCTAGAAAAATAGAAAGGTATCTACGGAATTATAAAAAGCTTTTAAGGATATTTGTAATAAATATATACGAGGTGTGTTCAAAGGAAGAGGTGAATTTTGAATTATTTTGAAAAATACTTATTTGTTTATCAATATCAATTTTGTCCCCTTCAAAGTAATCCCCCTCGGATATAATACACTTGTTCCAACGCTTTTTCCAATTCTCGAAGCACTTCTGAATTGCGCTTTTCAGTATGGTTATCAGCTCTTTCTTCAATTCTGACTTGACCTTATCAACTGGTGAATACGGTGGTTGAGGCATGATTACAGTTTTATTTTTGGCCAAAAAATCACGAATAAGCATTGATGTGTGAGCTGATGCATTATCGTGATGCAGAATACATGATTTGTTTCTCCACAATTCCGATCGTTTGAGCCGTATTGCTTCACACAAACGTTGCATAACTTCCTTGTAGTATTCCATATTGACTGTACGACCTTTTGGCTGGAGCTCATGTGCACCACACCATTGTAATGAAAGAAAACAGTGAGCAAAACATTCATATTCAGCTTCCATTTGGATGATTAGGCCTTGGTTTCGACGTCATAACCATGTACCTACGTTTCGTCACCAGTTATGACTCGTTTGAGTAAATCCGGATCGTTGTAGACGTTATTCAACAACTCCTGAGCGATACTAATGCGACATTGCTTTTCACGTTTCATGCCCAAAACATGCGAGGAAATTAAATGACATGAGTTGATTGATATGCCAACATCCTCTGCAACTTCCCTAATAGTGATTACACGATTTTCAAGATTTTTTCACTGTTTCGATGTTTTCTTCTCTTGCTGACGTGATCTCCACCTCCAGGATGCTTATCGTCATCAATATCTTCTCGGCCTTCTGTAAACCGCTTGTATCACTTATAAATACTCTTTTGAGACAATGCCGAATACCACAGTCAACATTTCAAGTGCCTTGGAGTACTTTATTTAATTTGTAACACAAAATCTAATATTCTTATATAGATATTCTTTGATCCATTTATTTCAAAAGTCAAAAATCGAAGAGCACACAAACACGCGACTAACCTTTTTTGTTGTGAAAAACAAACTACAAATCGAAATTGCCTCCTAATGCAAGCACATGATAAAGGATGATCGAACACACCTCGTACATATATTAGGGTGGGCAAAAAACTTATAATTTTTCTCTTAGATTCCATCAAATAATCCTCCGAAATGATGAAAAAAAGCTGGTAAGGTTTGAGCTCTTAATATTATTATCAACAGGTGGCGCATTTTTATTTTTGATTTCCTATATAAATAACGCAGCAATATGTTTTTGTCTTGTTTAGATTTTCAAGGCTTTTGAACAAATTATTGTATAATGAAAATGAAAACTTTTTATGCTTAACGTTCTTAATTTTTTGCTGAGTCGATACGCCGAGAATGTATTCGAGGTAATAGTCCAAAGTTTGATCGTAAAAGTTAATTTTTCACTTTTTCCTACCTTCTTTCACAAAAGAATGTCTCAAGCGCATTAAAGTTTTGTTTTTGGTCTATTCTAATATATGAGTACATGCAAGCCAGAAGGCCATAAATAACTATTACCGCAAGATTGTGTCCAGGGACGGTAAATGGTCGATTTTGACATTTTGTTTATGTAACATATGTACAATAAATAGTAAAGTCAACTCGTCGGATATATTTCAATCAGTAAAAGGTCACTAAGGGAACCAACTGACTAACTTGACAGACAAACCACATATGTATCAGGGATACTATATAAATTTTATTTCGTTATAGTTGTAGATAGTTAAGTTATTTCTTCCCAATTGGAGGCAACTAATATGATTCAAAATGATGTTCTATCAGAAGTAACACAAATTTTCATAAAAATAGTTATGCCACAAATAAGAAGAATTTGATGCTCTAAATTTATTTTTGTTGAGTATTTTTAGTCACTCCTAATCATAAATTTTTCTTTGTTTTTTTTTTTGTGCTTCAAAATTAAAATTGGTGTATATTCATTTGGGTGGGTTAAAAACAAAAAAAAATGTGCTTTTTTTCGCTTCGTACTCTGAAAAATTGGTTGCAAGACAGCTCTAAGAAGTGATCTCCACGTATAAGCTCTTAATTGTAACGTTACGGCCCTCCGCTTAACGTTTTTATATATTTTTCTTATTATCCGACAGAAAATAAACTGTATAATTTTTCGATCAAGTAAGCGTTTACGAGATATTCATCATCAAACAGCAATGCCTATCAAAGAAAAACAAAAAAAAGATAATTTTTGACAGAAAATTTCCTACAAGACTATAAACAATGTAAAATCATGTTTCCTCATTAAATTATAAAATACAAATTTGCCATAAACTAGTTAAACTTAAACTGTTAATATCATTTAAAATGTTAGGTTTACGAAAATACCATTTTATAGCGCATTCAATTTCCTACAAAATATA